TAAACGTACGTCGCTATCGATTTTTCCCCGTAGAGTACAGCTAATATAAAACTGTAATATCTCTTCGATTTTTTCAAATACTTCGCCAAATGTTCTTTCATATTCAATGTCTATTTCGTAATTTGAACGTATGAAATCAATTAATACACGTAATTATACAATATATGATAGCGCGCAGCTGCGACGGCTAATAATGATGACGAGATGCTAAATACGCGATAAATCGCTCATTTGGTAGATATCTCGGTTCATTGGTAGAACGAATTAACATAAATATAGAAAAGAGAAAATTTTATGAAAATCCGATTTTTTAAATTTATTATTTACAAACACGGAATTATTTAATACGCGAATCGTAATTCGCTACCGCGATATTCTAATAATATATTTATAATAATAATATATTAAAACAAAACATTATAGAAACTATACGCAAATGTAATTTGTCATCTTGCGTTTTCGTTTTACCGAACAAGTAAATAAACTCGATGAAAAACAAAATATCAAGTTTAAAGATATCTATTCGATAAAGTTAGCGAGCATGAAAAGTGGAAAACGCGTTTTCTCACGGCATCCGCTGTTGGCAGGTATCTCTCGTACGATACTTGGGTAACCTGATCCAACGAGATCTTTAGTTGGGTGCAGCGACGTGATACCGCGGACTTTCCTTCGAATAAAGCGCCTCGTCGTCGTCTGCATCGTCGCACGCGATAACAAATCTTCCATTTCGAGAAACTTACATTTAGATGATTTTTCAATGAACGAGACAAAAAAAAACCCAGAAATCTCTTGATATGAATTTATATACATATTAAACAAAGTGTCCTAGTCTATATAGCGCGAGTACAGCCTTGTGAGACAAGAATGGAATCACGACGATTAAGGAGGAGGGAGGGGATGGATAAATTAAAACAACTAGATCATCACGACTGATATTATCGAAAAGAATTTTGATCGACGAGTAATAAGATATATGTACCATGCCAGTGTATATTAAAATTTAACGAGATTTATTAGACGCGCTTAGACGATGCTCTCATGCGTAATAACGGTGTCATATTTTTGCGAGAGTAACGTGTCTGGAACTGAGAAAGAACACGCGCATTAACTAGGGTTGTCACCTTTTTTTAAAACGAATAACGTATGTAACGCCTTTGAGAACGAAAAAAAAGTACGTTAAATAAAAAAAAAAAGTACATATATTTTTTATATTATTTATTTTTCCATGCATATTTTTTATTACTTTTAGCAATATCTAATAAGTGTTTGTCTTTTTTAAAGACTTCTACAGCGTCTTTACAACCGATATTTAAATTTAAATATATCAACAACTCATTTTTAATTAAATTTAGAGAAGCTTTGTTCCTCTAATATATGTAACGTGAACTATAGATTTTCAGGCGATCTATGCGCTCATGCATAAAACGGAATGCACTCATAGTAATAAATCACATATACGTGACACGGTGACATCCACTTAGTATTCAAAACTTAGTATTCGTAAAATAAAGTATTTTAGCGTACTTTATTGTTTTACAAAATATAAAGTATGTACGTCCAAAATAACGTAATACTTTATTTTAAAGTACGGGTGGCAACCCTAGCATTAACTGAAATCGATTAATCATGAAATCGACGACGGAATCAAAGAACAGAATTACCGAAGATTGTGTCAGCGGGGATAAATTTGTATCGCAATAATGACATTTTTACGACCGCGCGTTTAACGTCTAGAAATATAATCATAAACATATCGACTTCAATATAAATTGATAGGATCTCGTTGCTTATTGATTATAATTTTAGATGTTGGACGATTCCAAGAATTCTATTCTTTTTTATCGTGATTCTAAAATGAACCTCGCTAGCGGGATCGTCTTACAGTATTAAATATGGAATATACCGCTTACGGGATTAAATGTGATTTAAAAAATATTTAATTTAATTTGCAGAAATAAAAAACATAGATTTTTTGACCCCAAGTTTGCCAATATCGCGTTTTTATCTCTACTAATATAATTACGCGCGATATATATTTTCCTCTACTATATAAATTTTAAACTAAATTTTAGCTACTTTCACTATTCTCTCGCGCATTTATTAAAAAAGATTATATCCCCCTGTTCGAAAAGAAGCTACTCGAAATACAGTCGGTACGATACATATCTGCATTTCTTGTCTGTTGATATTTATCGAGACGAGTATCAAATATTACATTCATACTCACAAATAAAATCTCGTTTGGATACCATCTCAAAATCGTTAAAAAAAAATCTCAATTTCTGACTCTTATACATATATCCACATACGAGCACACACAAACATTCTTATACGAAACACGAAGAGAACATAATTGCAATTGACTCGTCCTAGGTTTCCTTACCTTCATCGTTGTACAATCGTCGTGAGTGCCAAATGGGCAGGTCGCACAATATTTATTACATCAGATATAGGCTCATTAATAAAGTGTAATATTATTTCGCACATTCGTTGCTAGTTAACGCATTCGCGGGCAAAGCGATGTCTCTCTAAAATAATCAAAATAATACTTCATTATAATGTTTGCCTAGATTATCGGCATAGAAAAATTAACATATTCGAAAAAAAAAAAAGAACTACTGATTTATTCGATAATTTATTTATATCCATATACACAATTATTGACAAATTATCTTTATGATTTTACTGAGTCTCCGAGTATAAAAGTTTTTTTATCTTTTGAATTGATTTTATGAATGGGTTGTAATGAACGTAAAGAAAGCACAATCGCATTGTCCGCGAACGCATCGAGTGCGTTAAACTTTGGTAATATATACGGTCTTCCCATCAATGTGTGTGTGTGTGTGCTTAATGTTTCTACGAACTTTCTTAAAAGCGACTTTAGCCGCGAACACGCACGTACATAAGCGGGCGCGTAAGCAACGGCGAAATTTCTATGAAAATATGTATTTCGGTATCCGATTTATCCCTCTCACACACACAAAGGTAGGTTCAGATGCTTCGCAGTGTTAGGAGAAAAATTGAAGACGACAAAACGCTTACCTACCTATACATATACATATTAATAATTGTCATTAATTGATCGATATCGAAGCGTTTAATTTATAATGAAAGACGAAACAAAAAAGTACCGATCTAGAACACAATTAGCGTTTAGGTAGATTTCGTACTTCGTATTTAATGATATTATTGAAAATCATTATATATCGAGTATTATATGTACTGGAAGCTCTGAAGACAACAATGAAAATAAACTATTGTACCCCCGAAGTGTGTCAAGTGTTGCTCTTCACTCACCTATATACGATCCCATGTATCTCTGTCTGCAGGTGGACATCGTACACCCATCGGTGCGCGTTTCGTCGAGAGTCCGATTTTTACCGTTTACGAAAAATGTCCGCCGAATGTGTCTCCGCTTGCACCATTGCCAGTCAATATAAATTAACCCGGCACTCCCGGCACTCCCGACACACGCCCGGCATTAATTCGAAACTCGCGCGACGTTAAACCTGAATGCACGCTAACGTGTCAATGTAACGTCAAATATTCTCAAAAAAAAAAAAAAAATGTTTAACTGTCGTCGACATTTGTAACGGTCGGTGTGTATCGCTCCATTTGAGAGCCGTATAAAAATCTTTGGCGATTACGTTATATATAGCGTGCAATCCAGCACTTTCGACACTCGCCCGATATTAATTTCGGCACTCCCGATTATCTCGTTCGCGCTCGCGATTCACTTTCGATGAGAGAAGAACGCGATGCAGTCTCAATTTTCGTGTTACATAGTAACGGACAAATTAATAAAGATCGTTTCGTCATCAATATGGCGACAAAATTTGAACTTGATTAAGATATATGCCGGTTTCCGCGTTCTTGCGAAGAGAGATAATCCTCGCGGCTGCAAAATTGCTACGACACGCTACAAAGGCACTCGCCCGATATTAACTCGGCACTCCCGGCACTCGTTCGTACTCGTAATTAATTTTCGGCGGAAAAAAGACGCGAGAAAATCAGGATCTACGATCGACCGAAACGTCCACGATCGCGGCGTAAAGTGGAGAGAAGGTGCGTGCGCATGCGCGTTTCAAAGTCAACCGACATCAGCGCTAATTGCGGAGTAATCGAAAAATAATTACATCTATGAAGTACGCGCCCTATTTAGCGATACAGATATTTCGGATAATTTGATTGACCAATCAGGACGAAGATTTTTTTTTCCTTGATTGAATCAAATTGAACGCTACGAAGCATATGTAATGTCAAATGGAATGCATCCTTTTTTAGAACGAATTCTTTCACACATAACCGAATTTTCACATAAGACTAATAATTTTCGGTCGGAGAGATATTTTTACATGAAAAATATTATGTACGCGTGATAAAAAGTTACGTTGTGTGTTACGGCAATTAATTCTCCAAAATGCAAATAATTTAGCGAAAGAATTTGTCTGTGTTGCTCTTAATAAATGATCGAAATCAAGCACAGAAGCAGGGAAATTTTTCGAATAGAACGTCAACAAATTTTCGCTTAACGCAACTTTCATGTTATTTGTTTATATAATTAATTAGAGGAAAAAGAATATTATACATATATTGATAAATATTAATTCCAAAAAAATATAACAAATGCATCAAGGCACTCACCACGAAAATTTGAGAGCAGTTACATCTTTTCAATTATCTTAAATAATATGTGTACGATAAGCGAATGCCGGTTAAATGATCCGGTGCGTTCATAAGAATGACGCGCAATTCTTTTTCCGATACTTTTTTATTCTTCGCGCGCACAAACTGTACAAATGGATTATATAAATAAGGATTCATATTCTTTAAATATTATGGAGAAATGTAGTCTTCCGAATATGAGCACGCGTAACTTCATACACACACACACACACCTACGTACGCATGCTCGACCGTACTTAGTTGCGCGCACCGTTGTGCGCATCGTTGTGCGCATGAGCAGGAATAGAGCAGAAGAATCAGTGAAAGCATTTGCAACTTGCAACCTACTTCACGATTAGTCGACAGTGAGGCATCATGGCCATCGGTTAGTATCGGCGCGTTACTTAGAAAATTCGCTGTGATATAGACGATCTCGCATCGTGAATTATCCGTCGAATTTCTCGTTCGGACAATTCGTCGATTTTTCGTCACGTAACGACATCAAGACGCGAATGACACGATGGTGAAATTGACCGAAGAGATGGTCGTGGCTCGCACACGAGTATCCGACTTCTCCGCCGTAAAGAAACTCAATTGCTGGTGAGTATTTACATCAGGTCGCTTTAACGGTATAACCTCCATCGCGAATTAATTCGCGACGACTCGGTCGTCTCTCGAGCGATTAATGCGTTCGCATTCACCCGTGCGAATAAAATCGTAAAAACAGGCTTATCAAATTCTCATGTCTACTATGCTGTGCTGTGGGAAAAAAAGAGGATTATGTATATGATCAGCTAAGCGTGACTAATTACTGTTCCCTCGAGACACGTGAAAGAATGGATGGAAAAAAATTTGCGAATTCCATATGCCTAGATTAGTCTTTGCACACTCAAATGTACACGGAGTAAATGCGTAATAACACGTATAAGATTTGACCCCCTATCTCTATTTCGAAATTAATATACATAATAAATAAATTGTATTAATATCACTAGTGCGTTGCATCAATGTATATATTTTTTGTACAGGGGAACAGAATTAACGGATGTTAGCATTCTAAGAAAGATGACAAATGTAGAAGTGTTGTCATTAAGGTAAGCAAAGACTCGTTAAAATTATAGTATAGATAATTATCAATGTAAGAAAAAAAGGTGCAACAAATCTGTAAAATTTGATCCATTATAATATTAGTAGGCAATTTTGAATTAAGAGCATAATTTTCTACAATGTTTATTAGCAAGTAATTTATTACGCACAACTGAAATTATCCTATTTCATCATTGTGATCTAAGATATTTTTTATCTTACGAAAACATAGAAGCTGCAATGTATTCCTACTTTGGACACGATTGTATTAAACTCATGGTCACAACCCACAATCTCAAAAGTTGTTCTGCCCACACGTGCTTTGAATTCATTGTGATTCATCTGAGTCATTTGAAAATACAGATGCATATGTATATCAAGATCTATATCTGATGTGTCTGAAATCCACAAAAGCAAAAAAAGTTTTTATTTTTTATTTTTTACACAATAGCAAATACATCATTATAAAGGGTATGCTATAAAATTAGTTTTGAAAGTACAGTCAAAATTAATTTAAACAAAAGAGAGAAATAAAAATGTATATAGCAGCCTTCTCTATTTCTATAAAAATGTAGAAAACTTTATACAACTTTTTAATAAATTCTAATATATTATAATTTCATTGATTTTTATAAAGACTATATTTTACTTACATTTTTATCAGTTGATTATATCATAATTACAATAAGACGTAAATTTGGTAAGAAAAAAATAATTTCTTTTTTACATGATATTAACAAATAAAAAGAACATATGAACATACACAGTAACATAGATTTCTCTTATATCAATAAAACTTGATTGATTTATGTTATATTACATATATATTAATGTGTATGAAAAAAGAAAAATAGAAGTTGAGTTGATAAAAATGTCTTATAAATTTTCCTCCATCTAAATTATATATACATGTATTATATATAAACTATTGATAAATTATATATACTATGTATGTGAATTGTTACAAGAAGATATTACTAACATTAATATCTTTCATTGTTTAAAATAAAACTTTATAATTTGAAAATGTTAATTTAATTTATTTTCAGCATAAATAACATTAACACACTTGCTGATTTTCAATATTGCCACAAACTTCAGGATTTATTTATACGAAGGAACAGCATCAAAGATTTGAATGAAGTTTGCTATCTCCAAGGATTGCCTAATTTACGAAATTTGTGGCTCGGTGAAAATCCATGTGCAGAGAAAGAGGGGTAAATATCTAATATACACGGTCTGTCTCAAAAGTTTCAGAACTTTTTTCGTATGGTATTAATAGCGTAGAATTTGTTGAATGTTGGCTCTTTATTTCGAATGTCAAAGCGATAACTTCACTTCTGCCTCTATGGTAAATTAGCTGTGGGATCTCGATCAAACTTACCATAATTTTTAACTAAACTTCTATGAACGCAGCATGACCTTGATTAAACAGATAGCGCTACTAATACCGTCTATACGAAGAAAGTTCGGAAACTTTAGGGACAGACCGTGTAATAGATTATTTTTAAAGAAGGGATTATACTTCTGTATATATAAATAGCCCTTATAATATGTTTGCTGTAATGTTGGCTACAATATTGATTCTTTGCTTATTTATGTGAAAGAAAACTTTTCAAGAGGTGGGGATCGGCATTTGATTCCGAGACCTACCAACTATGAATCGGCCGTTCCTATACGAAATCATTCATCCCAATATAGATAAAATTTCCTGATCTACATTATTTTGACAGATATCGATTAGCTGTACTGCGAGCTTTGCCAAATCTTGAGAAGTTAGATGATAAAGTAGTATTACCTGAAGAAGTGCAAACCGCGATGGCAATAGGTCGACCTTTAATACATCCTCTCGAAATGGATGCTTCTCCACAATCAGATGCAGTAACTCCAGAAGTAAGAACAAACTCTTTTCTCTCTCTCTCTCTCTCCCTCTCTCTCTCTCTCTCTCTCTCTCTCTCTCTCTCTCTCTCTTTAGAAACGATATCTAATAACAAACAAAAAAAATGGTAAATAATAGAATGCTAAACTATATTCTCACATATGCATTTAATATTTATGTTATTTTATCAACTATCTCAAATATTATTTTGTATGCTTTACATCTTGCAATTAATAGATGCATATTTAACCATTATTAAAATTTACTTGTATCAATAGCATATTATATACATATAAAATCAATAGAATTCATTTCAAAAAATATTTTACATATATCTTAAATATATTTTTAACCATCATTACAAATGCTAAATGACATTTATACTAAATTAGGATATTGCAATTGAATACATTGAAGAACCTGAATTGGAACGGCCTAGGAGATACAGTTCTTCTAGTGATCAGGTAATGTCATTAATTAACGTGTACTTTTACTGATTTTTCTTCCCATCCATTAAAATAGATCATTTGATAACACAACAGATGTTTGTTATATAACAATTATAAAGTGGAATAATATATACATACATAGAACTGTGTTTTCAGAGAAGTTTTGATGAAACACAACACACTCGTGAAGAATATGACCCTGACAGAAGAAATGCAAATTATAATGCGTCATCATCCCATCATTACTCACAAAATAATCAATATACATATGAGGTCAGTCATGCACATCATTCGTATAATAAGAGTAGAAATAATATCATTTTCAAGAGTAAATAACTACTTATTAATTGAATGTATTGGTATTATTTTGGGAAGTTTTTTTTGTTGTCATATAATACAGTTTTTCCTCAATATTTTTATATATTATTTTGTAGCAAAAAGATGTACCTTATTCATTAACCTGATATTATCACTGATTGTAATAATTAATTAGATAAAAAAGAGAGTTAGCAACTCAAACGCAACTTAAACTTTTAAAGTCTATCTTATTGCTTGATTACACTAACAGCTACAAAATGGACAATCAAAGAATCAGAGCAAAGATGACACTATGTGTACAGAGTCACGCAGCAACAGTGAGACTGTGGCCACTAACACTCTTGAAATATCCAAGGTACATTTGCTATAGATGCACATTGTCTATACAAAAAGTGTAGTAGTTATTAGTTTTTCAAATAATTTGTGATGGTCAAGTACATGTGTGTGATATTTGTAATTGTGCAGTTTTCATTATTCATATCATATCCATAACATAAATGACATTTTAAAATATATCAGCTGTCATTATTAACAAGTATAAGTAAATAAAACCTCCATTTTATATACATATAATATCCATATCTAATGTATTTTTTGGCTATATATGACTGTATGGCTTGATTTAGGGAATATTTAATAACAAATAATTTATGTTTTTTTTATTGCTATCATCTAATCATATCTTACCTTGTGTATTTGCTTCGGTAAAACGGAAAACAGATGATATAACTTATAATACTAACCAACAAAATAAAATTTATAGAACTCGTGTATATATTTGTCCTGAATTTTAAAAAACAATGTTTGAGAAATATAATTACATTAAAAGTTACAAAATTGATCATTTGTAGTATTGATTGTTTGTAATTATACAGTACAATATGAATATATATAAATAAATAATAAATTTTTTTTTAATCTGTTAATATTTTTATTCCAATAATATAATGAAATTTCTATGATTGTAAAGCAATTTTCTCTTGAATACAATTTACATACTATAAGTATTGTTCATGCTTATAGAAAATAATGTTTTAGGATTATGATGACAGACCGGTAGTACGACATAATGGAGATTATGATGAAAGACGAGCTTACTCTGAGTATGGTGGAAATGAAGTATCTCAGCGCATCTATACACCAACATCACAACGTACACAATATACTGTCAACGAACTTGCAGATGATAGACGTAATGACAGAAATAATTATAGCTACGATGAGAGAACAAGAGTAGAATACGAGGACTCACCTCAACCTCCGACACCGCAAACAAGAAGGATGACTGTTCATCATAATGAAAGGGTAAGACTTAAATAAGCTATATATTATTTTTCATCTTTTTCATCTATTAAGCACAATGCAATTATAACATAGCTAAACATATATTATCGTAATATAAAACGTTGCACATTTAAAAATTTTCTTACTAAAATTAAAAAATAACTTAGTATAGTAGGCTCTAAATATAAAATAATATTAACGAATGATGAGACGGGCAACTAAGAGCCGATGCGCTGGGTGAAGGGCGCCAAATTGTATAATTCCGTGAATCTCATGTGAATTATATTTATTAAACGTTTCGGTCCGAAATTTGGACCATTTTCAGTAACTGTGCACTTGTCAACAGTAACGATATTACTCTGAGTAATTACTGAGTAATATCGTTACTGTTGACAAGTGCGGCTCGCTCAACACGCTCCTGACATTACTCTTATTTGTCTAATTATTAAAGATGGTCCAAATTTCGGACCGAAACGTTTAATAAATATAATTCACATGAGATTCACGGAATTATACAATTTGGCGCCCTTCACCCAGCGCATCGGCTCTTAGTTGCCCGTCTCATCATTCATTAATATTACTAAAATTAATATTTTAATATTTTCTTATTTAATATTTGCAGGAAGATATGGCTCAAATACCTGGTTGGGTAAGACATTCAGAAAAAGACAAATGCAGAACACAATTTCACTATCACAGACGGCCAGTAACGAGGGTATGCTTTATGTCATTATTTTAAACTAAAGTACACATGTTTATGAAATTTGAAATATTTATAACATACATTTTTCTTTTTAGAATTCAAATATATTATCCGCTGTGCTGTGTTTGGTCAAAGAGTTGGATTATCCAAGCTTAGAAGTGGTAGAAATGGCCGTTAGAAATCGAATGGATGAATTAGAAGAATGATGTTTCTGACACCGTCCCCAAAATCCACAGGGGACGGTTGCTTTCTCCCAAATCGGCAACATGTCTTCTGTTCCGAGCCCAGAATTCTTCGACTCGCTCGATTCTACGATAACCTTTAACCAATATGCTGATAATGATGAGAATTACAACAATGACAAACATCATTTTGACCGTCAGTTATTCGAAGAAAATAATGATAAATGTCAAATCCGACGAAAATGTGCCGAAAAAATATGCTCAACAAACAACTTGAAAACAGTATCAATCGATCCTAGCCCAAAATTATTCGGAAATAATCAATCTATACATAAAATTAGAGACTCTTTATTGGACAATTTATCGTCGAAAGAGAAAAAAACCAATGATGTAAGACGAGTAGCAAGCAGTGACAGCATTCCTCGTGGTTACAATAATGTCATTTTGAACCAGGGATGCAGAGTTTTAAGCCAAGACTGTGTGAGAAGAACAAAAAGCCCAGATATTAGAAATACAATTACACCACTTCGCTATATTCAATCAGCAAAAGGAACATGGACCTATAATTTGTAAGTTGGATTGAAAATTTGATGAATTATAATCTTTCTGTCCTGAAATAATAATCGAAAATCCTTGTGAATATTAGTAGAAATAATCTTTTTCATAAAACAAAAAAGAAAAAAATAAGAGAAGTTTCAGTTAGTAATTAATACAAGATTTATGATTATAAGATTGGTCTCGTCATGCTATTTGTCAAGGGAAAAAAATCTATGTAAAATTTATATATGATTGTGATATTTCTGCAAGATATGAAGAGACAAATCTAATTATCTTTTTATATTATGCATACATATATTTAAGAAGTTGTAATTGCCATTTCTGTTAATAAGAAGTGTTAAAGAGTCGAAACTAAAGAAATCTTTGGTTTCAAATCTCATAAATCTGATGATTGATATATGAATAATTTTACTTATAATGCTGTTGTTTTTCCAGAATTTTATCGAATTCGAAAATTTGTTAATATGTTTGATTCATTATAGTGTACATGTGTAATTAACATTTACATAACTTTATCGTATGCATAAAACATATAAAATCAAAGAGATGAGAAAATTAAAAGCGTTATTAAATATTTTCTAAGCAAAGAACACGTTTGATGTTTTTGTGTAAGAAAATTATTTGGATTAATAATCTTTGAAAGTTAATGTTTGAAAAGTGCAATAATTTTTACGATAAAATATGAGTACATGTATATATGTAGAAAACAATTTCGTACACAAAGAATATTTTATATATATATGAAAAGCTTTAAATGTATATTGTTCACACATAATCTGTTACCAAAACTTCATCTGCATATATTAGTACTTAAAAATGTATATATAGATGAACAAGAAATTAATTTCTATAGTATTATTATTTTTGTAGTATCTTAATTTTATTATTTGATTGCAGAGATATACATTAATGTTTTTCTTTTTTTTAAAAGATCATATATGTAGGATCATGGAAAGTTGTACTTAAAAAACAATAGAATAATAAACAAAAAAACAACAAGGGTAAGATAATTATAAGAATGTATATTATAAATTATAACTTTAGACTGACAAACAAGTGTAGGGCATATTTTTTAAGACAGACCCTTACATTATCTACTAGTAGCTAGTAAAAGCGCAGAAGAAAAAAAAGACATAAAATTTAATCTGCAATACTGTTCCAATCAATGAAGCCAAGAAATGATATTAATTAGTGTTAAGATGTTTTATAATAATGTAAAACAATGATTTTTTTATTATTCAGAACCGTCCACTCTTACATTACTTTCATGACTCTTTTATATATGATAATATTTTAATGTATATAATTATAAACATTATACATTATTTAAAAGTTTATGTAGAGAGAAAGAATTTAACATTCTTAAACTATTAAAAAAAAAATGACACATTATAATTGCATCATAATTATATCATTGCATTTATACAAAATTAGCTTTGAAACTGTTACTCTTGTTAATGTTCTCTATTACATAAATCAAACATCTTGTTAAATTATTTAAAAAATGAGTTATATTTATGTTTTACTCTGGTATATTTAATCTTTACAAATTAATTTAATTTCACATCTTGTTTTAAATATGTAAAAATGTCTGTTTCCATTGAAATATTAAACCCATATGTATACTCAATTCCAAAAAGTTAATATTTTGTTTCCTTATTTTTACCTCCTTTTTGTGAAAAATTGCAAAAAAAAAATTATAAACTTTGAATTTGCTCCTTAAGATTACATTCTGATGATATAATGAAATCTCCCCTAATTTCAAATCATTAAAACCGAACAAATCCCAGTTTTCCATCTCACAGATAAAGATATGTCTAGTTTCTAGAAAGAGTTTTATGTTTAATTGTATTTTTCCCTGATTATACAAAGCAAAAGATGTGCATTTTAAAAATTAAAAAGGAAACTAATCACACGTACGGAAAATGCATATTTGAAAAGTTTTTAGCAATTTTTAAAATTGTTTAAATTACTATTTTTTTGAGGATAACACTTCTATTCTTATTTGCAATATAAATTTTGCTCTGTATCTATCCGCTTTTATTCATTTAGATTCATTTTGATCAATCGTACGATAATATTATAATCGATGTACAATTCCATCCACTTTTTATCAATTCATGATACTAATTTCTGACGGTTTTATGTATATACTATTATATAAATAAATAATTCATCTTTTATTAATACTTTTTAATATTACACTTTTATATTTTTTAGATACCTATTAAAAATTACATTCCATATACATATATAAAATAAAATTTCAATATATTACACTGATTTTTTGTACATCTTTATTCCTTAATAGATTTTCGTTGAAAAATTCTTGTATATTTATATGCAAAGAAAATTCATGAATATCTTCGCAAGAAAACACAGACACTGTCACGCAATTGGCTATCGAATAGAGAATTTCTAGTTCCAAAAATTTTTCCATTTGATAACCCAATCGTGTGTTTATGTATGTTCTTACTGGGAAGCATTCCATAAAAAGACGCCGTAACATAGGATTATATATTTGTATTAGATATTGGTTGACTTTTCTCCATTTTTCTGTATATATATCATATATACAAATTTTTATTTTGATGATAAATGGAATGGATTATTCACTGTATAGGATTTTATTAAACTTATGGTGGATGCCCTGAATTTATATAGCTCATCTGTTACTTATGTCAGTTGTCAGTTATCAGTATGACTAAGATTCAAGCTCGTGAACCATAATGGAGTATCTGTCAAATAATATATTTTTTCTATTAATTTGGATTTTTACGGCCCTTTCACCGGTAATTTACGTATAATTTACGCGTATTATCGATTAATATTCTAGACTCCCATGTTTCTTTGTATGTCAGGAACATTTATAAAAACATTTTGAAAGAAAGGACAATATATGCGTGTAGAGCAATGTTTACCATATATCAGTGTTGACGATAATTAATGTGACATATCATTTTAGTTTTGTCATTTAATAATTTGTTATAAAAATTTATATATATGCATGCTTATATACCAACATCTAATTGTTACAAATTATAAAAGTTTATACATACGCATAATGAGTGCATTAACAGTATTAACATTGTACTAATCTGTTATATTTTCAGACTGCTGCACATTACTGTGTATGGGGTCAGTGTGAATCATGGGAACATTGTTGCGCTGAAAATGTATGTTGCAGCAACAAAGAAAATTATAATATATGGATCACTGTGTAAATATAGCATATTTAATTTGTAAAACATGAAATCATATTTTAAATATGATTAAAGCTAATTCATTAAAATTTCAACAGGATGATCATAGCTGGAATTGTAATCGGAATGGTACTGGCTGGTACATGTCTCTCTTACAATCTCCGTCGTATTTATCTGTACCTGCAACAAAGATACTATGGTATTAATTCTGTATCAGTGCCATCAGAATTCGAATCTGATGGGAAATCAATAAAGATTTCATTTCAGGAGTAAAATATGTAAATAATTTTTTATTGGACCAAATTTCTAATATATAATTTTTAAATGTAGCAAAGTAAATTAAATCTCTCATATATTTTTAATAATTTATTTCTACATATTAGAATTTATTAAATAAACTGCAATTGTGTTATTAGGCAATTTTATTTATTACATATATCCTCTTTCAATTATTTAATACTTGTTAGTAATTTTCACAATTTTATGTATACTTTTGTCAAAAATACACAGATACATACCATTTTATATATCATCCATACTATGTTTCCATTCAAGTATTTTATCACTTATTTTAAAAGCGTTCCAATTTTCATCCATTTTTGGAGTTCGAGGTTTAGTGTGCACGGCCTCACAAATTTCCTTCGTATTCTCAGGTACAAAAAAATCAGAAAGTTTTGGTGTAATATCTTTTTGCCGTGGTTCTGGATCCTTACTTCTTGTAATAGTAGATGGTAACTGTTTTTCATCTATGTTTAAATCTACTAAATTTTTATAAATTACCTCATCCAATGGAAAATCCAGTGCTGTAGAAATCTATTGCAAAAAAATATTTTCAAATTTTGATATATCTAAAGTAATTGTAAGATGTTTCATTTTTCTTATAAAAAAATCCTACCTTTCCATTTACAAAACTCTTTTGTGCTAATGGCAAATGGTCAATATCTGTGACAATCTTCTGTTGTTTAAGTTCTTTCAATTTATTAATGGTACATGCAATGGAATTATATCCTGGTCGTGCCAATTCTTCTGCAGCAACATCTAATGTAACGTTATGTATTTTATTTGCCTCACCTGCTTTTAGATCACTCTTCTTTTTGTGAGAAATTCCTGGCCCCACAGAAGTTTCAATTTTAGGACCTGATATATTACGTAATATAGTCTTTTTAACTGGAGATACTTTATTTTTTGCTGCAATCTTGTAACATGGCATAACATTTGGTGTAACGGATTTTGCATTAATTTCGACTGTTTGATTCCTTGTTTTTTTCATAATGCTTGGTGTAGATTTTGTCATCTTTGGACTTTTAGAATCCTTAGTACCTATTTTCTGCATATTCTTACTTGTAGGAAGTTTATAGTTCCCAGTTTGTGTAACTGATTTTGTACAATGGGAGCTTTCTTTTTTTGATTTGCTTATATCTTTACTAGATACAACTTTTTTCAGTTTTGTATCTCTGTTTTCTTTCCCCTTTTGTTGCATATTTTCTTTGCGATCTTTTAAAATATTATCTTGTGGACTTTTATCAGGTGTTAATGTGTTGCAGTTTTCTATTATATTCTGAATGCCATTTGCATTACGTAAAATGTTTGAGGTCTCGATATTTGAAACATTTTTGTTAGACAGACATGTACTTTGAATGTTTTCAGATATAATATCACTGCAATGTGTCGAGATCTCTCTTTCATAATCGTGCTGCAATACATCTTTGTTGCAAACAGTTGTCAATTTCTTAGGGTCCACAATTTTAACAGGTCTCTTGAGAGTTACGATACTCTTAATTTTTGGACCGTTTGCTTGCAAAACTGTTTTCTCTTTACAATATTCAACGTCCTCCTCCTTGTTTTGTACATTGTCAGAAAATTGGGAGAATCTAACCTTTGGTCTTGAAATTGCTTTAATATCTTTCGACATAGCTCATAATTTGTATGACTCCAATTACAATAATCGTTATACGAAAAATTTTAATAGAAAAGAAAAACAGACCTCTAAACACATTTTCCTCGCGCAATCGTTATTGAAAGCATCATAAAAGGTATATATGAGAAGCTCAAATCAAACATACAAATGTTAGATCATAAAGGATTTAACTGTAAATTTCGTTCGCGTAACAGTTCTTATAAAGGTTCTTTGAAGACAATTTTTTTTTTACGGTAACCTAAATATAATTCGAGTCACTTTTGCAATGCCGCGCAAAATGTGAAATTTAAATTTTACTCATGTTTGAATGACGAATCTGATTGGTGGCGAAGCACGTGAAACACTAATCGCTAATCACAAACAGTTGCAATATTCCATTCGATTTGACCAATCTCTGCTTCTTTTAATTTCTCCATGTTTTCCAGAACAAAGTGTCACGCGATTGGCTATCAAATAGGAAAATTTTCGGGACTTTTAAAATTCTTTATTTGACAGCCAATTACGTAACATTGTGTCTACTTATGTTTTCTTGCTGGAAAGTTCCCTATATCTCTAGCATCACTGGTTTGAGATTGGTGGCACTGAATACTAAGCGTCTGTACTTCTGTACGCCAAGTTTCAATTTGAAAGATAGTAACGGTTTCTCACGTAAAACATCGTATATATATTATATTACAAGCAGCTTGTGTAAAAATGAAACCCGCGTAAGTATTGTAAAATTGATTATTGTATTCAGGCACACAATGTCAGATAAACAACGTGGATGATGCATGAATATTCGTATATCTATTTTATGAAATGAGAGAAACCGCAAAACAAATATGTGCATCATTCACGAATCTTGTTTCAGACGTCCGAAAACTCCAGCTCGTAAGCCGGTTAATCGGCCGAAAGGATCGAATATGATATCTAAGGATCCCGTGCAAGTTTACTGTCGTTTACGGCCAATGCAGTTTCCGACAGATGTATCATGCATGAGAATTACTTCTAACA